TTTTTTTTTTGTCATTTTTGCATGAGGATGTGTTGGTTAGTTTGCACACACCTACGAAACACACACACCCACACACACGGCAGGACCACAACAACAAGAGTAGAAGAAAAGGTCCTTTGACTCGTGCACACCTGTGAAGCTGCAGGGTTATTGTGATCTTTTACCTACTGCAGAGTTCAAACCAGCAACCCTTTGCATGGGAATCTCTCACTTTTCTTGCACAAGGACATCAGGGCCTGTACCGCGAAGCTCAACCTACCCAGTATATGTTATCTGACTTCACCCTGGCAATCATGACCGGGATGAATGGTCCCAGAAGCTGGTTATCAACTCAGCAAGTCAACCCAGGTTTTCCCAATACAGCCGTGAGCGCTTCACATAAGAGGCGTTGTCAGCAGCAGATGACCAATCGCACACATGAACAAGGCCACTGTCAGCAGAGGGCAAACTAACATTACAGAAATACGTCATAATTTAAATAGCACAGCTGCAGCTGACACATGCAGAGACAAAATCTCTGACAGTATGAATGCCAAAATGAACAGCCTAGTCTATAATAATGTGTTGATTTGATGTGTTCTTATGAGCTGTATGAAAATATCAGCCTTATTCTTTCAGCTCAGCTGTGTGTCAGCGTTTCCACATTGAAAGACTCAGGCACTGAAAAAGTGGCCTTTCCACCTCACTTTTAAGAACTTCTTATCACTTCACAATTAGATTAATTCATTTAACACACCAAAAGTGTTCTAAATGAACTTATTCAATTTCAATTTATGAGTGGATAGCCATATGAGATTGCAGTTTTCAAGAAGGTCGAAAGACACATATACATAAGGCAATGAAATGAAAAATCCATTCATGTCAATAAAATGTGCTCAAATAGTGGGGAAAAGACTGAATCTCAACATTTAGGCTACTGAAAACTCCCCTCATTACCTGCGCCCACATCGCAAAAGGTGGGGTGGAGCGTGACCGGTCTTTTTGATAGGCTAGCTACCAACCTAAAATAAATAGCCTACGTTCATTTTAAAATTTATTAAGTATCCCTACCAAACTGCTCGTAATTCAGCCTTACATAAGAAAAATTAAGCCCATTTATTTTAACGTCTGCGACGGGCTGTGTGAAACGGACGGGGGAGCAAATGAAAATTATAAAATTTCAAAGCAGTAAGTAGGCCTAGGCTTAGCCTACTGTAAAAACCTACAATGGTAGCTTACAAGGTTTTTCAATCAGTCTGTAGGATGATACCGCTGTACAAAAGTTTCTCCACATCACCCCAGCAAACATAAAAGCAGCCTATAAAACAGTCCGTGGGATGGTGATATCATTTTCCAGAGAGCTGATTGGTCAGTAGGTGACGTTTCATAAAGTTGATGTCTTATCTGGAACATAACCTGCTTTGGAGCAGGTTAGCCCTTCAGCATAAGTTACCATGGCGATCTACCCCCGTAAGAAGTGAACCACTGTCGTGGAACTGAAAACCCAGGGTTAACCCTGAAGTTACCTCAATAAGCTCAAATCCTGCTTCGTGGTACAGGCCCCTGCACACGCAATCCTCCTCACCAGAACAGTGGAAAATGTAATCGATGGGAAAAAACATACAATGGCCAGCAATTGCACCAAAAGTACAGTGCGGTACTTTGTGTGCAACTGTAATAGAAAGTTCAATTGATTTGGTGTTTTTATTGATCAAAGTGCCCTTGCGATTGATGTCCACGGTGACGTAGTTTGTGGTTTGACTCATTTACTTTGCCGCCTAAGGCAACGTTTACATGAGCGGCTGATATTGATTCAGCCTTCCCACATTCACGCTCTGAAATATCAAGAGTGAATTCTACTTTCTTCAAACAGCGGACAGCAGGGAGAAGCTGAAACTCCAGGAGAACTTCACACCTACTGTACTACACTTTTACACAAAAGAAGAAGTGGATTCTGCGTTCTTTACACTTTACTGGAAAAGTTTGTGAGCTACGATGTGAGAAGATTGTTTTCCCCGAGTCAAAAAGTGTATGTGTCGCAGGCCTGGTGAGATAGAGAAGGGAGAAGGAGCGAGAAAGAGCGAAGTAGGGAGAGACAGAAAGAAAGACATTGAGACGGGGAGAGAGAGGGATGAGAATGAAAAAAGAGTGAAAGGTGGAGAGAAAGAGATGAGACAGGAAAGACAGCGATACATTGAAAAACAAAGGGAGAGGAAATGGTGTTGGGAGGGGAGAAGAAGTGCCGAAGAGAAGGGCTGTAAATGAATCAACAATGGAAAAATGAAGAGGGAAATGCGGCAGTTGGTGGATGAGCTGTCAAACTCACTGAACACTGAATCATTGCCTTTTAGTGTTATTACTATGATGCAAGCCAACTAGCCATGTTAATATGATGAGTCAAAGACATGTTGATTATGATGAGTCAGTGTGTGAGCAGGCGGCAGAGAAATAGCACTGACTTCATCTTGGTGGCCATCACTCTGATTATGTTCTAACCTATGGCAGAGAGGAAGAAGGGCTAGCCCTTAGCCCTAAATAAAAAATAATAGTAATAATAGCGCTATTATTACTATTATTTTTTATTTATCAGCGTGGAGGCAAAGAGCGACGCGGTCTGCTCTTTGTCAGCATCTCTCCTGTCACAGACCCCCCACGTTCACACCCTACTAAGTTACACTGGAGGCAGTAATTAGTTCATTGGCTGAGTTAAACGTTAGCTAACAGGCACCGACAGACAATATTGTCTCATCATATTAAACATTACACGTGGAAAATGTTGTAGGGGAGACCGGGTATGATTGTACACCAATTCCACCAATTGGAGATAATATAGGAGTCATGTGATCATTTCAGTGTTTTCCTACTTCCTCCCCGGTCAGGCATGGATGTTGTCAAGGCTGCAAACAGTATCATTCAGAATATATTAAGAAATAATTGATTTTGAAGTGAAAAGTAAATTTTTTACCAGGACTATTTTTGTTTAGTATCCATTATTGCAGATAAAATTACATGACTTGTTTCAGATTAAAATAGTAGTATAGTAGTAGTTTAGGCAACATGTGATGCATTTTTACCCTAATAATTCCAAACCACTATGCTAATACAGCTTGCTAAATAATGGCTAACCAGGGTGGGATGGGTTGTAAAACTTCTTTAAAAGTATTACAACCATCCCCTATACATACAACTAGGGATTTTCTTGTGTAGTAGTGTTTATTAAGTATAGCCTACTGTTAAGTAACTTTGTTCGTTGTCCATAACACACGCCTGTCCATAACACAAGCCTGTCCATACCATAACCCACTCGATCCGTAAAGTTGACATCAGCAAACCACTCACCCCCACAATGCCATACATGCAGTCTGCCATCTGCCCTGTACAATGAAAACCGGGATTCATAAGAGAAGAGAACACCTCTCCGAAGTGCCAGACGTCTTTGAATGTGAGCATTTGCCCACTCAAGTCTGTTACGATGACGAACTGCAGTCAGGTCAAGATGAGGACGACTATATAGTTCAGTGTGTGTATACAAAATTATAAACGCAACACTTTTGTTTTTGCCCCCTTTCATCGTGAGCTGAACTCAGAGATCTAAGACTTTCTTTATGTACACAAAAGGCCTATTTCTCTCAAATAATGTTCACAAATCTGTTAAATTCTGTGTTAGTGAGCGCTTCTCCTTTGCCGAGATAATCCATCCACCTCACAGGTGTGGCATATCAAGATGCTGATCAGACATATATGATTATATTTTTCATGTGACAACACTGAAGAAATGACACTTTGCTACAATGTAAAGTAGTGAGTGTACAGCTTGTATAACATATAGACTGTATATAACAGTGTAAATTTGCTGTCCCCTCAAAATAACACATCACACAGCCATTAATGTATAAACCGCTGGCAACAAAAGTGAGTACACCCCTAAGTGAAAATATCCAAATTGGGCCAAATTACCCATTTTCCCTCCCCGGTGTCATGTGACTTATTGCATAATCAACAATAAACAATAAACCTATAACCTGTTTTTAAATTACAGAGCACAACCATGTAGCCTAATGTACAATGCGTCTACAATTAACGACTTACGACAAGCTCTTTACACTTGTTAAAGCACTTTGTAACTTGTTTTTGAAAAGTGCTCTACAAATAAAGATTATTATTATTATTATTATTATTATTAACTACTATAAGTAGTTACATGGTCAACAATAAAGCTGTAACCTCTTTCTAGCCAACGGTAATAATAAACGTGACGGCAGCCAGCGGGACGTAAATGATTAAGTTAATTGATCGCCACAAGTTTTCCAAGTAAACAAACGCTCATTTATCTTTTCATAACGAATGACAGTCGGAGTTAACCT